ACAGCGTTTTATAATTGTAACGCCATTTTGGGGTGTGCAAGTGTATGCGTAGCCAAGCTACGATCTATGCAAAGAAATGTGTAAAGTTCACAATATTCACAATTTTGCTAACGAAAAAACAGCGAGTCTGTCGATGTAGCCATTACATTGTGCAGCTTGTGTGTGTGTGTGTGTATGTGCGACACGACACAGCAAAAGCAGCAACGACAGTGCCAACAACAGCAACAATGTCAAATGGCAAATCGCTCGACGGCACCATCAACGACTTTTGGGTTGATCATTTTACGGGGAGCTACGGTAAAATTAGCAGCTAAAGCACATGCTGAATACTTCGCAAATGCACATTTGCTTGAGTATGTTTGATACGTGCAAGGAAAGCGCAAACAATGCACGATTCAACGGAGAGAAGAACAAGACACAAGATTGTTAACAACAATCTTTTAATAATAAATTTCAGTTGTTCGCTTTTTTGCTGTTTCGGTTGTTTATTTTTTGTATTTATTTCTTCATTTTTTTTATTCATTCGTTCGTTCGCTTATTCGTGCAAGGCAGCTTTTGTTCATACGCTGGCTCGCTGAAAGAGACAAGCAGAGCGAGAGAAAGAAGGAGAAGACAGAGAGACAAAGAGAAAAAGAGTGAAAGGGGAAGAGCAAAAGCATTTCTGCAGAGCAAACACACGTACGTCTCGAGTTGTATGAATATGTCGGTGAGTGAGTGTGAGTATGTTCCGGTAAAGTGTTGAAGGATGTATTGGTGCCATTTAGCAAGGAATTCATATACATATTTCAATTCGCGAATTCATTTCGTTGCATCGTACATTGCGTTGTGTGCTGATATTGCGGCAGCAATGGCTTCTAAAAATGTGCTTTAATTTAAATTTTCCCGAGAAAATTGGGTTTTCGTTTTTCACTTTATTTCCTTCCGCACGCTTTATGTTTACTTTCGGAGAGCTACACTGTGCATAGCATCACCAGTACCACTAGCAGCAACATTATGTGTGCGCTGGTATTTCGCAAAGCAAACAAACAAATGCCAAGACCAAAATGTAGAGGAGTACACGCGCAACTGAACGAACGCGAGAGTGAGCAATGGAATGAACAAGATGTGTGTGTATGTGTGAGATAGAGATAGAGATAGAGAATGAGTGCAAGTAGATCCTTAGATCAACATCTTTGTTGCTGATGCGGTAATATTGTAATTTCAGCACATGTAACAACCAGCTCAAATAGAAACGAAAACATCCATAAAACTACGTCCTGCTTCGTGCTGTTCCCTTGTTTCTCTATTCCGATCGCTTGTGTATGTGTGTCCACCTTCGTTTTTCGTTCAAACGAATTGCATTACCTTTCGAATGCAACGATGTGTACATATTTTGAGTGTTCGTTTAATCATTTAACATAGTTTCGCAGCACGTATCGAACACCATCATTTCATGCGCTCGTTGTGGCACACAAACATCCGACTGCATCAGAGTCTTACATTTAAAAACCGTTTTAATTATTGCTGGTTTTTATGTGTACGCATACACAATTACTTGGTATGATACAAAATAGCAGCATTTTTCTAAGGAAACATTTTTTTTCATTTTTCTTTTTCATTCCGTAAATGTTCACCTGAAATGATTTAAAATGAAGAATTGTATACATTTTTCGTGGAAAAGCGAAAGAGTTAGAGGGAGGTAGAGAGTAGGAGAGAAACTGCTAAATGCATATAAATGAACATTGATTTGGTATACACATTCCCTTAATCAGCTTTTGGGCAAAATCGCAGCACAATGGCATCGGAATGGTTACAGTGATGCAATGGCATTGTTTTGTCATTAAACAAAACCAATGTGTTCTTCGTAGCATAAACATAGTTTATTGATAAGAATTTTGCTGATTTGATTGTCTCAATCATGCCAAATACGTAGACAACGCTTCCGAAATGCGCTTATGTGCATTGTGCATTGTCGATATGTATTCTACTGGCTGCTTTTGTTGCAGGAACGAATGCTGTTTGTTCTTGTGCAAATTATACAATTTATATCTGAAATGTTTTGTATCGTATTGATTATGCATTTGCAAGTTGTTGAATGCTATGTGTGTGTGTGTGATGACGTTTGGAATGAACGGATAGGAGGAGAGGAGAAGAGAAGGAGAGGAGAGGAGAAGAGGAAGACTCATGAATAAACACTTACAACATCCGAATTTTCGGTTGATGCACAAAGGATTTTATCAAGTATTACATACCAACAATCACTTAGACAACGCATTGAATTCAGATGTTTTCGTATTTATGTTGATTGTATGAATTTATTACATTACAATGGATCCCATCGTATGTTTGAGCAGCAATAAAAAGCAGTGTTAGGTATAAACTTGGATGGTTTTGTATTGAACCGTTATTGATGATGATGAGTTCGTGTCATGTGTCAGGGTAACTCAAGACAAAAAGCGCTGATGCCGACGTTTACAAATGGTGCATAAAGAGTGAAAAAGGTCAGTTTGTTATTAATTGCAAAATCAAATTTTCGGAAAAACCATCGATCGACACACAGAAAATGGGGGGCTACGAGAAATAGAGAACAAAGTGTCTGCCATGCATAGACACACAGACAAATAAATACCACACGGACACGAAACATAATACGATTGCAAGTGAAACAAAACAAAACAAAAAGTTGAAGTAACTTTTACACAGCCAACAAGAGCATCAAGAGCGTAAATCTGCACATTAATTTAATTAAAAACTTGCTTTTTCGAGAAATTAATAGTTTGTATGTTATCATTTGATTTATTTATTTCATCAAAAGTTATCCAAGAGTTGAGATGGGAATACAAATGGGTTCAGGTTTGTTCGTTGTATTTTCTACTTTTTCCAATGGTTTCACGTTCCTTTGACTGAGTTAACTATCGAACGAAGACCAAACTTGTTAGTTTGGATTTTACTTCCTCTCATCACTCTACCTCGCTCAGTTCAGTAGATTCAAAGATTTTATTTACTGAACAATGCTTTGATTGGAGAGAGTTTCGACGAAAAAAGATCGATTTCAATGCTGCTTTTTGTCTTCATACGTCGTGCGAGCATGTAGACAGTCGTTTTCAAATAAACTGTTCAGAGACTCTCGATTCCATCTTTCGATATCAAATGATTTAATTTTCTTGAAGCGATTTACAATTCCATACGCTCAAAGCAATATTGTTCAATTTTACTTACCTTCCGGGACACTATCAGTATCTGAAATCAAACTATTTTCGATTGACTACCAATGAAATTAATGCGTCAGCTCAAATTCTTCTATAACTCTATCTGTCGATTTGATAAATGCATAATTTGTGTGTTGTAAAACATGTTTATCAGTTGCTTTGATCGTGATATTTCCATTCGCTCCCACTCTGTCTCGTTTCATTTCGCATTTTATTGGTATCACATGAGAATACGTAAATATTCATATGCGATATGACGACGAAGCACACTAATATATCTCAGAAAAGAAACAATGAAAATGTCCAGAATGGGAGGAGTGTTTTGTTGCCATAACAAACAGAAATGAACAACTGAAGCACTCGCTTCAAAAGAGTTTTGCGATGTTTACTATTAGAATTCATTTGATGATTCAGTTTATATGATGTTGGCTGCCTTTTTGCTTCCTTCTGCATCCTCATCTCTATTTCTCCCTGGCATTGCTTTCGTTTGGTGTATTTTTGCAAGAGCTGACCCAGCAAAAATTCAACCAGCCCCGAATACGAAAAATGTGTCGAGTACGTGCAAAAAAAAACACACACACAAACGCACAACAATCTCTATGATGAAAAATCAAATGACAAAACGGATAAAAATGAAAATGAATGAATGAAATAGATGAACTGGTACGGTTTCAACGTTGTGTGTGTGTGTGTGTGTGTGTGTGTGTATTTGCGCACGTCAAATGTACATTGTCGCTGCATGCACGAGAGCAAGGGAGGGAGGTAGTGAAAGCCAGCGAGTGAAATTAAGAGATATGCGCGAAAGCGCCGGCGAATGGTTAGAAAAGGAACAAGACGACGCAAAACGGAAAAATAAAACAATTTAAATAAAAATCCAATAAAAATGTTCCGAATCATCACATAGTAGAGATAAAAGTGAAGAGATATTATTTTGGATAAATTTCGCAATACAATGGGATTATCGAGTAAAACGACCAAAAAGCACATGAAAAATTACAATTTATATGTATAAATAGATGCTTTTTCATTCGATGGTGTGTTCAACGAGAGAATCATTGCAGGCGCTCAGCGATGAAATGCCGAATTTTTCTCTATTTTTTTTCTGTGTGTCTGTCTCCATCTCTTTTTCGCTGTGCCCGTGCGTTCGTTTGCAAGCTGTGCTTTTCGAACGGCCAGAGGTTCCAATGATGTTGATGTGTCGGGTGTTTTTTTGTTGGTTTGACGTAAATGTGCTATTATTAACCATCAAACTGGATGAGGGCAAGAGCGAAAAAGGGACCATCGTAGCCAACAGTCCGAAGAGATAAGCGGAAAAATTATCCATTATGTTTGTGCGATTCATTTGTGTGTGTATGTGAGCTTGCATGAGGCCTCAACTCTATCATCATTGTGTCCATTGTCTCATGGCAGTTTCAAAACCATGCACTTTTCAAAAAATGCTATACAAAGTGACCACGAATGTCCGCAATACATAGACACACACACATACACGCGTGCACGCACTCACAGCTAGTGAAAGAGAGAGAGAGATAACTTACGGTTTCGTTTGGATTTCGACCTCGACATACGACAACTGAATTGCGTTTGCACGAGTTTTCACTGGGTTCAGTGCCACAATAAGCCATCGCTGCCGGCCTATAAACAAAATCATTGAAAATGAAAGATGACTCATTCGCGCATTCACACAGATACTGTGAACATTGCTGCATTCGGAATGCGTACGACAGAAAGAGAGAGAGAGAGAGAGAGAGAGAGAGAGTGAAATCCGGCCCAAAATAAGATTAACCAAAGGGAAGAAAAACCACATAAATATCAAATAATAGAATAATGCCAGCAAAACATTTTTTTATTTATATTCCTTGGTATCGTACACACACTCTCGTTCCGTCTCTATACATTTATTTATTTTTATTTGTTTGTTATTTCCTTTGTCTCTCCGTAGCGTTTGCTTTTGGCTTTTTGCTATATATTTGGTTGTTGTTGTTGTTGTTGACGGTCTCTGTGTTTTGCTATGTTTGCTCATCTTAGACTTATATTTATAAGTATGTATTATATATAATCTTATGCTCTTCGGTCACTTTCCGTACACACGGTGTAGTATACCATGTTGTTTTTTTTTCCCTCAAAATTTCTCTATAATTCGCTCTCATTAATCTATGGCTTCGTTTTTGCTGTCCATTATTTGTTATGTATTTTTTTATAATTATTACTCAGGTGCATGTGGCTGCACCATCCCATTCTGGATGGTTTTGGGGCAGCCACACGCACCTTTATTATATTATTATTGTATTTTTTTAATTTTTTTTTCTTTAGTATAACATAATAATTTCATCATTTACTTCTTTTTTTCATTTTATTTGTGTGTAAGTTGCTTATGCTTATAGTACGTACATATTAATCTTCGTTTAGTATTATATTAATATTTCCATTCCTGCTGCATTTGTATACGCGTTCACATTATTCTTTATTTTCGCTTCTGAGCAGTTATTAGCTAACAGTTGTTTTATGTGTGTGTTTTCGTTTTTTTTTTTTCGGGGTGTGAGTGTCGTTGTCGTCGCAATTCGCGGCGAAATGCTTCAATTTATGCTTTTTGGATGACAGTTTATATATATATTTATATGTATGTATATATATTTTCTGCGTTTTTTTTTCTGGTTGGTTGGTAATATTCTGGTATGGGCTTTGACCCGCAATCATACTTACTAATGTGCCTAAAAATGCAATGTTGAGTGTTTCCAAATGGCTAATAATATTGTGTGACAGTTTTGATTTTCTCTTTGATTCTATTTCATCTCGTCACCATTTATTCTCCGTGTTCACTTGCTTACTTGCTTTTTTTTTTTTTGTTCTGGTTTAAATGCGCCGTCACTTGTGTAATGGTGCGCTTCACATTTATTTTTTTTCTGGTTTTTGCTTTTATTCTCTTCTTCTGTTCGCTGTTTAAGTCCGTTGCTCATCGCTATTACCCAAATTTATGTACAAAAACGTCACAGAATTGAATCATAACAAAAATAATAACAGCAAATTATCAAGAGAATCACATGATAGACGCGTGGCTGGTATTGGTTGTGGTTATGATGATGGTGACTGCCACCGCCGCCCGTTAATGGTGAATTATCTGGATCGCCAATGGACGCTTTTTCCAAGCCCAATAAATTTGGTGTGACGGTTGTCAGTGATGGATTTATCGTTCCCAATTTAGCTTCAACATTTTTATGATATACATGCAAAATGGACACTTCGCACATAACTTTTATGCTTGGATTAAATTTGGGCGCTGCCTGAAGTATATCTTGTATGATTGGACTCGATGACTGCACTTCGAGCGATGAAAATGTTGGTGAACCTTCGTACGTACGATAAACAACACGCTGATACGGATTCTTATAGACCTGTTTGGATGTGTGATGGCCATGTATGAAAAGAAACGGAAGAAGAAGAAGAAAACGAGAGACAGAAAAAAAGAAAGCGTGAATCAGTCAAAATGGGGCGACACAAATATCAAATGGTAAAAAAATTGACCTGAAAAATTATAACAAAATGTCATACAGTATCTTCGTTTCTCGCCACTGTTGAGGATAATTAACGACCGAGTGCGAATTGTTCGCTCTCGCTCTTTTTGCACATCTCATATACAGGCATAAATTTTCTACATTGCCTCGGCAATAAACAGAGCATGGAACTCTGTTTTCATCATGGAATTTAATTCTTTTGTTTCGATTTGAATGGAAGCTCTTGCATAGAAATACGAAGGATTAGGCAGACAGAGCAGTGAATGTCATTTAAATAAATTCGATATTCTCATAGAAACAATTCGGATTAAACTTCTTGCCTGTTTATAATCACCAGAAGATTTGAAGAAAAGCTTCATATATGTACAAACTGAGTGCATGTCTGAATCACCTACAACAACAGCAAAAGCAGCACCAACCGAAAAAAGGGCGAAAGTGTATAAAGAAGTCGTTTAAGTAGCTTATGTGTGCGATTTAAATCTGTGTTTCGATTGAAATGCATTTGCATAAACATATTGACTCGTCGTATTGAGCCTTTTAGGTATGTACGCAGACAAACGCTCGCTGATTATAAGCCATTTTCAGTGTCATGATTATTATGGGGAAAATTGTGTGCTCGCTTGTGTCGCATGTATATGAAATCTGTATAGTTGCACGCTTCGCATACTCTAGCTTCTGCACACTGGCTTTCGCTTACTTTCGCCAGATAAAACAATAAATTTCAATACAAACCGCAAAAATATGAATATTTGGTAAATTATTGTGTGTTGAATCGAAACAGTTGCACAATGTGTGTGTATGTGTTTGTATGCGTATGTAATTATATTTATGTATTTATGTGGGACAATAACAGAAATCGCACGGTACGTGCGTTTTGTTCAAATGAAAATGTCGTTGTGTAACATTTGAACAGACATCGTGAACCGTCCAAATCAATATTGAATTTCGTGAATCAATCGTTACGGTTTTATGTCGATTCACAAGAACAAAACATTTGCCGAATCGGTATCGCCAAAAACCTCAAACACACAATTCGATCGATTGGTTAATGGCTCAATTATGGCTTTTGAGCCATCGATTTGAGAAGCGTTTGTTTTCTGTAAATATTTACAAATTGATTGGCGCAAATGAAGCTACTCATTCGCACATCATCAAAATTACAGATTGAGAGAGAGAGAGAGCACGCCCGTCCATGAATTTGATTGTAGAACCATAGTGAAATTGTAAATTATGCACCTCTATCCGGTTGTTTATGATCTTGTTTTTTTGGATAACACACAGACCCACCGACCCTAATATTTAACACGCGCGTGTTTTTTTCTTTGCAACTTTGCCAACACACAGTAATACACACTCGCGCACACACACACACACACACACACACACACACACACACACACACACACTCACACTCACAGACCCACCGACAACACATCCGTGTCATGCAGTTGTTTTTCCCACAGCTATTGTTGTTGCTAAACAAATGTAAATTATTATCATTTGTCGACATCTGTCAATTTCGAAGTTTGCTGATGTATTAGTCCTTTTGTGTGTGAATAAAATTTTTGCCCTGCATATGGTGAATATTTCATGGAATTTGTGTGCTGTTTTCGGTGTGTGAGAACGAGAGCGAGATCGAGAGAGAGAGAAGAATCCGGAATGGCAATGAATCATAAAAATGTGAACAATGAACATCGGGATAGCTGCTTTTCGAAGTAAATGGCTTTTTGCATTTTTCCTCGTTGTTCTCGGCAACAACTTTTGCTCCGGGTTCGGGAAACTGGAAACATTCATTCAGCTTTTGGTGTTTGTATGCTTGTGAGTCGATATTCTCAGTAGGAAGAAGAAGAGAGAGAGAACGAGAAAAAAAGCAGCAGCTAAGCTGAATTCATGCAGAAATTACGAATGCAGAGCTGCTCTGCTCCCGACGAACATTATTTGTTTCAATAATTTCTTCGCTTCAGTAGCATTGCGTTGTGAGTTGGTTTTGACATAATTCCTTGCATTAACCTCAATTAGTTTGTTATGTTGAAATTAATACATGCATCTCATTGCGATGTTCATCTGTGGAATGCACTCACGACGAGTTAAAAATTCCTGTTTGAATTCCAGGAGACAAATATGGAATTGGTAGCGTTCATCTTATCATGCTCAACACTCATTACATCCATCCGAATTATTAATTTGGATGTCAAAATATTTGATCATTTATTTAAATGAATGCAAGTATGTTATCATAGCGGACGAAAACCCCCTTAATCTATGTGGTGGTGGTGATTTTTTTTTCCTTACCGGAGCAGCATTCACTTAAGTGAGTAAAAATCGGATGTTATGCGTGGTAATCAATACTATTTCGTATGGAAATGAATGCGAAGCATAAACACGTTGACAAATGCGTCAAACGCGAAAAATTCATCGCTTACAAAATATTTATGCACATTTATTTGCCATTTCGCACAGACGATCGGAAAATATTCATTATTTGGTGGTAGGCAATCGAATCGCATTTGCACTGGCTGATGTGTCTCTTTCCTATCTCTCTCTCTCTCTCTCTCTCTCTCTCTCTCTCATCGACATGTCACACACACACACACACACGGACACCATGGGAAAAATTCATTGGAATTTTCAAATTCATGACCCGAAGCAATCGCCATTCATACATTCCAATTAAACTGATTTCGCCACTGTACACACTTTATGATCAAACAGATATTTTTATTAAATTTTATTGATAGTATTCCCCAAAGTCACAAACTCTGTCAACAATGTTCATGTGGATGTTTGTGTGTGCAGGGCAAGGGTGCACAGATGGAAATAAACAGATGAGCAGAGAGAACGAAAAAAATGGTGTGTGCTGCGTGCAGCCATGGGTTAAATATGCATGGGAATCGTCAACGTGTTATTTCGCGTTACAATGTTATAATATTTTATTATGATTTAGGTGGTTTTTGCTCGTTTGACTCAGCTAAAAAATGATTTAGATGTAACCCGTTCGTTGGTGATTCGCGACCAAACTAATTTCATCAGTTTACATCGGGGTCAAAATGTTCAAGAGAGATAGAGAGGGAGAGAGAGAGAAAGAAACAAAAACATGTAAATATTGCAAACACATTTTGCTGAGTAAACAAACAGAGATAATATTGCATATATTTTGATGGTGCACTGATTAAAATGATTAATTGAAAAATGTCGAGTCCATGCAAGTGAGAGTTGATTATTCTGTAATCATCACCAAAATTGTATATTTAAAATATTTTCATCAATTTTTATAATATTTTTATACACTACACAGTACACAATGCAGTCAGATTATTGCAGTGCATGCGCATGCATTTTATTCATTATTTCAGCTGGCCAGTTCCCGAAAAATACTCTACAAAAATCATCGAGAATCAAAACAATTTTTAGCGTATAACATTTGTTGCAGCGTGTTTTTTCCTCTCTCACTCTTTTTTCAAGGAGAATTATCATGATTTTACCAGGTACAATGTTCGCAACAGCAAAAAAATACCTCTTTATTTATAGATAACAAGTGCATTTTCCCCGAGGGGCAAATCACTCTTAGGTATTACTTTTACATAAATGGTATTACTTGGTATTACTTTCCGTACAAATCAAAAGTAATACCATGTGTATTACTTCTATTGATCAGTATTACTTGGTATTACTTGGATATTATTTTTTTTCGGTATTACTTTTTTCATAGAAATATCAAAAGTAATACCAGAGGTATTACTAGAAATAACTGAGGTATTACTTTTCTATTTGGTATTACTTTTGAGTGATTTCCCCCTTGATTTTCCCTCTCTCTTTTTTTGTCTCTATAGAACGGTCAGAACTCACCACCCAAGAATTGTCCTTGTTTTTTTTTACCGTTTTAATTACTCTTTTTTCTAATTTTCAACGGCAAAAACTTGTAATGGAATGGACTCTCTCATTTTTTTTATGTTTTGATTTTAATTTTAATTTTCATGTTGGTTGAGGAAAAAAAAACAAACTTTTAGTTTGAATGAAAACAACAACAAAGTCGCCCATTTTCCGTATGTAAATGCAGCTCTTTATTTATGGGAATGAAGTGAATTTCGGTTGTTTGTGCTGGTTGCACCAATAGAGTGAGAGCCGAAAGAGCGAAGAAAAAAAAGCGAGAGAAAGATGCCACTACTGTTATTAAACACCAAATACGAATTCATCTCTTGTTATTAACGCATATTTAAAATTCAATTTGCTTTAATTTGCATATGAGTGTGTGTAATTAGACAATGTGATGACGGCCAAAAAACGTTGAAACCCCTCATGCATGTGCTGTTGGGTTATGGGTGTAATAATAACACAGCATGCTCGCACATACTATTTATACAGATATATTCTGAGATTATATGGTCATGTGTAGACACATTGACGCCGATGCTCTCTTCCAATGTAAACTTGTAGTTAAATATATACGCGCATTCCTCTCGTTACACTTGCTGTTGTTGTTTTTGTCATTTTTCTTGTGTTGTGCTGCGTTAAAGCGACAAATGTGCGCGGCGTGAAAAAGGATTTATGAAAAAAAACGAGTATGCATTTTATGGTTGGCTGGAAGCGCAGAAAAAAGACACACTCGCGGGAGAGATGAAAGAGAAATGGTACGAGTAGCGATTACACAAGTAAATTCTAAGTGGAAACGAAAGGAAACGGCAGCGCCAATAGAGATAAAGCAAAAAGAGGAGAGAAAAAAAACAACCCGATTGAGAGATAGAGAGAGAGTGAAGCAAAGCAAAGAGAGAAAGAAAAACCCGGAGCAAAAACTGAAGAAAATCGGATTCTATGAGCCATGCAATATGTATGGCTTACATTCGAATTTCATGTTCATATGACAGATACGCGTACTTTAAACGAAATATAAATGTATTACATAGAAGATAGAAAGCGAATAAAAACGCTTCATAAATGTCTTCGCATGAGCGCAGAAACATAAACTACGATTCATCATCGAAGTGTAGATAATACTGTGTTAAATCGCTTAAAAAACGACAAATACAAACGTACGATCGATATTCTTTCTTTTTTTTGCTCCATCCCATATCTATGTATGTATGCATGCAGCACATGTCATTCTACTCGCTTGCTGGATTTCATTCTGCTCCATTTTTTACTCTCTTTCTCATTCTTCCTCTTCTTCTTCTTCTTCAGTGTCGCTTCACTTCAAGCGAATGCGAATAAAATTTTACATCTATTTCTATTTCTCAATGTCTCTCTCCCTCTGTATGTATGATGTTCGTTATGTCTTCGTTGATTGAAAAATTAAACATGATTACTATTGCAGAAAAGCAAGCCAATAAAAGAGGACGAGAGAGACAGAGAGTGAGCGAGAACTAGACTCTAGACTCTTATCCCCATCGTCGGTTTATGTCATTTTGTAGTCATAACTTTCAGTTTACTAATTCTTATGACCTTTGTTCTATGATTACAACGCATCTGCTGCAAAATAAATTGGCTTGTTTTTGAATAGGTCAGCCGCCCTGATTCACCATGTACCGAACCATACACTCGGTCTATCTATGTATGCGCTACGCTATGCTGTGCTGCGCTGCGCTGCGCTGTCCATGGATTCAAACCAGACAGAAGAATAGATTTACATTTCATGGAAATTTTACTCACCTTTTTCGTGTTTATGTACCATGTTATGTTTGCAGCTGGATAGCTTTTGCCCACAGTACAAACTGCCTTGAAGCTGTCGTTGATCCCGATGATTTTCTTATCGATTTGTAAGCTTGGCTCTTCCTTTGGTAATTCCACCACTTGCATGTGTGCCTCACGAATTTCGGTATGGAACATCGGTGCATCCTCTGATACTTCGCACTTGAATTTGCCAGACAACTCTCGAGTTATGCTGCGCAGTGTAACGGAAGTTGAGTCAGACGATCCCTTCTGATGGAATTGAATAGTGAAAAAAAGGATGATTGCACACAAGAGGGAGAGAAAAAAAAAATCCAAAAAGATTAGCATTTTGGCGAGTATAAACAAAAAGCTCATACCGAATCAAATATGTTTGATCCAATAAGAGTATATAAAATTCATATTTAACTTTCAGCTATGCTAATTCTATGCTTTATCCTCAGAAAAAAAAAATATTAAAAAGTTGAACATATTTTTTGAGTTTTGAGCAACAACAATAACAAGGATAAACTTCTATTTAAACAACTAATTTCATTTGGTTTGAATTATTAACATGGTTCATGAAGTGTAATTAGCCTACAGAATAACGGTGCATTTGTCTTTCAACAAAAAGTGCAAGAGCACGTGCATTTTTAGGTGTAATTTCTCGTAATTTCCCATGTTCTCAAGCATTTTTTTATTATTTGATTCATTTTATGCGACTCTTAATGCATGCCAATCAGAAGTTTTTCATTTGCAACATTTTTCATGCAATCAATTTAAAATTCGTGTTTGTTCTTCCACACGTGACTGCCAAGCAATTTATATTTACATTCTGTGTTTGACATGCACTCATCTGTCTGTTGTCATAATAATCAGCCAATTTTCCTCCCGCTCACTCTCTAACTTTTTAAATACTTTTCTGTGTGTCAACCATATCCATCGCATCGTTGCTATCCGCATCAGTAAAAAATGGTGGAAAAAATTGTGCCTCAAGTAGATGAGAAAAAAAAACCATATGGCATCCTGTGTGTCACCCACTATCTCCAAGTTATAATAAATGAATTTGAATGAACAGAACGTAAAACTGATTTTTGAAAAGTGATTACAGATGCAACGGTTCAAGTGAGAGTGAACAGCGAATGTTGCAAATTAGAAGCGGAAAAACTGAAAAATCACGGGAAATTGCTTAATGCCCGCCCGCACAAAGTGAGCAAACGTTACTTCATAAATGTTGATGTTCGCGTAACACACACATCACATCCCATCACATCGAGTCAGTCAAGGTAAACAAAGCTACAAAATATGATGTTACATTTATTTTGTGCCATGTTTTTTTTCGCTTGGTGACCGCCTATGAATGTGTTTCTATGCTTTTTTTCTACCTTCTATTTCACGCGTGTATGTACGTCTTTCACACTGTATCGGTCTTCACAGGTTGGTGTTATGAGTGAGCGCGAAATGTACTATAAATAGTTGATTCAAACGGGATGATACAGCACGCGAGCGAGAGAGTCGTCGTGACAAAGTGGCATACAGACATTTTTAAACAAAAAAATCGCATCATTATTTTTTCGGTGCGATGCATATGCGCCTGTAGTGTGTTTAGGTTTGTATTTTGTTGTTGATGTGATCCAACGCGACTCTTTTTCTGCCATATTTACACTTAAAATATACAAGCATAAACTTCGCAATTTTTTCCTTCACTTGTCGCCCGATTTTCTTGAAATTCCTCTCTATATCTTCCGATGTGTATGTATTTACCCTCGTCGCACCATGCAAAATCTGTTTCGTTTGACTTGCAACGCTCTTTTTTGCACTTTTTCATAATATAGATAACATGAAATATGCATTAAATGCTTGCGATGCACACGTTTGGAATTTTTGTTGGCCGAACAGTGAATAACTGATTTCACCTAACGAAGAGAGAGAGAGAGAGAGAGAGAGAGAGAGAGAGAGAATGGGACACAGTGAAGCAAAGGAAATGCACGGAAGAGCTTTTAACGAATTCTCGGAAAACGCGTTTGCATTCCAAAAACTACACAGCAGCAGCAGCAGCAACGCAAGTAATATGTGCTTATTTTTCGAACGATATTAGAGCATAGGTGCCATTTAACGTTCACGCATTTATATTTTACCATTTGACTATGGCAAACAAAAGGTAAGCGAAACAACAGCAACGAATGCACCAAATCAATAGAAGGAGCGAGAGACAAAAAAAACGGGCAAAAAACAAGAGCGAAAGAATTCATCAGCTCCAAACTGAAAAACTTTGATCGAAAAGCGTTACATGAGCTGCCATCAGAGGAGAGCAGATGTGAGCAGCAAAAATGCAACGAAACAAAAATCAAAAGCTTGAAATCAAGCGTAAATGAAGGAAAGAGAAAAAAAGCAGCGGAAAAAGGGCGAGATAAAAGCTAGACGCATAAACAAAATTGTTCGACTGTTGGTTGTCGTTTCGCTTGGGTGAAAAGGATACTTGGCACATCAGCTACTTCACCGTATTCAGCCTTCATGAATATCTATGGCAAGCCCTCTTTTCTATATTATTACTTGGTGTTGCTGATTCATAGCATTTCGAGTCGAGTGTGTGCTATTCGCTAGCTTAAAATTGTGTTGAAGTTCTTCATTTTGGTATTATTTTTTGTTCATGTTCTTTTTTCTATCCGGATTGAGCTCATTCGATGTCTTTATTCTTTTTTTTTTCTTCTTCTTCTTCGTTGTGCACTTACTTACTCAAAGTTTGATATGTTGGAATCAAAAGGCTTCCAGGAAATACTATTTTTTGTGTACACGCGTGTGTGTCTACATACATGTGTTTGTGTGTGTAACTTAAGCCTATGCAACTTAAGTGTATGCACATTTTTCGTTCATTCCTTTGCATCCGTTGGCTGTCTTCGTCACAGCAATATCTCTCTTCCGACGGTTCTCTTTTGAACACACTGTGTTCACCGAAATACAATTTCTGTCAAATATGTCTACAAATCGGTTTAACATATAACACAAGCCCGCACCCACACACACACACACAGACGCCATAGCATACTGACGAAATTAATTTTTTGCTTTGCTTAATATGTAGCTTAAAGGAAAATATGGTGCAGATGCTTTCAAAATTGCGTATCAAACAAGCGATATGTATACTATACACCATAATAAAAGTACCGAAAAAAAACGCAATTTCCCTCGGAAAAACTAGTGAATGTGCTGTACAAGAAGCAAACAAGCAATTATATGAATGAAAAAATGGAGTTAACAACGGGCGGAAAAAGTTGCATCACGTGTTTAAACAACTCAATGTCAATTGCAAACTTTATGGAAAAAACGCCGAGCGAATGCAAAGTTAAATTAAACGAAAACATCTTGTGTATGTGTAATGCATACGTGTTTGCATATCCGACCAAATTGCATAGCATCTTGTGTGACGTGGTACCGAGAAACCGTCGACGGAATTGAATGAAAACCCATAATTTTGGAAATAACAAAGAGCATTCAAAGCATGAGTTAGTTAAAAGTATGTGAAACACAAAAAATGAAGACGAAAAAACAAACAGAAAAGAAATGTGAAACGACAAGCAAAAATTGAGCATTCATGTGCCGTGTCAAATTCAGTAATAAGAACTCTTTTGCTTTTCATTTCTTCTATTTACGGAGAACAGGCGATGGAATTGGTGTTGTTGTTGTTGTTATTTTTTTTTTATTCGTAACATTTACATCAATTTCCATTTGCATTAGGGGAAGATACGCACAAAAATCTACACGAAATTGCATGCTTCAATGGCACAATTGAGTAGAAGAAATAAAAGAAAAATCACAAGTAAAAAAGAGAGATACTCACATCGACCGTGATTCCGGATACGGGAAACACTATTGATGGCGGCGATTCTTTAGGAACGTAGCGATAGAATTCCTCACTCTCAAAATACCATCGAACCGAGTACAGTGGTGCCTGGGGGATACAAAATATACATACATACACCAGTCAGGCAGTCAGTCACAAAGCAAATAAAAGAGATATATCTTTTATAGTTATTATTATATTCACACAATTGTTAGATCATTATTATTTATTTGTATGGCGTCAACTCATTTGAGCGCATCTTCCTTTTTTTGCCCTCTTCATTCTATTGCCATCGTTTTATCGTGGGTTTTATACGTATTTTTCACACACAGGTTTTTGCTTTTATATAATTTTATTTTTTTATTTTTTTATTATTCGAGATTTGTAGTAGAAAAGAATGAAAATAAAAGCACGAGAGAGTGTTTCAAGTGCATTTGAGTCTAAATAGCAATGGAATAAAATATCGAAAATAAAACAATAGCTAAATTACAAAGGATGAAGATCATCATCGTATGGTGATGCACGACAATCATCGACCATGGTAAAGTTTTCATACACGAGCATGTATCAGTTCACTTACTTGTTCCAATTCGTATTGGCATGATAGCGTTGCTGCATTTCCCGTTATAACCGCCTCCGGTACGAAAATCTTCAGATCTTTCAGACAAAAGGCTGCAAACACACAGAAAGGGAGGAAAAAAACAGAGAGAGAGAGAGATTGAATAAAAATCATACATTGACTCAAAGAACAAGTAAACACTGAGCATATAGGAATCTACAGCAAGAGAATGTTTCAAACTGGAACGGAAAAAAAAGATTCGTTGCTATTTGCTCTTTGCCACTGAGGTTGTTTATTCAAATTTCATCACATTAAAAGTCAAGAGTCGGTGCATTGCAAAATGGTAGCGAATACAAATAGAAGAAGAAGAAGAAGAAAAAACGCTTGAAACCCGCGACGAATGTACAAACGAAAATAACGGACTGAATTCACATATATTCAGCACAAATAAAACAATTGATGGTTTGTCGTTAAGAACGAACACTTGCTCTGGATTTATTTTGATTCAATGAAATTTAAATTACAAATTTAACAGAAGTAACAGAAAAGGGAGAGGCATTTTTTTGCTCTAAAAAATAAAGTCAAGATTTAATTATCTCGTTCATCATGTCATTGTGTGTGTATGCTTCGATTCGATGAAACCGAGTGTGATCATGGCAAATAGGCACGGTCACAGCTTAGGCGGCGTTGATTTCACTTTCGGTCTTGTGGTAGATGGTGACATCGTAGTAGTACATGTTTGGTGTGTACCAGTAGTATTCATCGATGTAACGATCCAATGGGTAGTAGAATGGCAAGGTGTCGATGTAACGGGAGCCAGATCCGATGCCAGTGCTGATGATTGGATCAAAGGTGCTGTATTGTGGCACTTGTGGTGGATAGTATGGTGAGACGTAAACGAACAATTGGTAGACTTGCCCGCCCTTCTTACCCTTTGGCAACAACAAGCGGTTGGGGAATCCGTTGTGTGCTTGAGTATTGTCCAAACGGTACTCATGACCACCGACAGCCAACATAAGATATTTGTAGAGTTCATAGTATGTGGTACGGTCATGAACCTGATTGAAGAAGTTGCGTGATTCGCGGGTGATCACATTGTTTCCGGCAGTCAAGTCGTATTTAAACATATCCAAAAGGAAGAAGTTGTAACGGTTTTCGTTGACACTCAACTTGTGGCCGGATTCATCGTATTTTGGACCCAAGTAGATGCGAACAACCGATGGAGCGGCAACATTTGAAGCAACATTAATGCTCACTTTGAATGGAACATGGTTCAAACGCCATTGACGTGCCTTGATGACATAGTCTTCGCCGCGGTAGTGTGAAGCTCGACCAAATTGTCTGAGCTCGGAGGCATGTTCAGTGTAATCTTGCGGGTATTCAATGTCAACAGCATTCGAGATATCAGCATCGAAGTAGTCAAAGTATGTGATCAATTTGTCAACCTCAACTGAATCAACGCGAACACCGTCGAAAGTGAGTTCCTTAAAAGTGTATGGACGCATATGGTGCATGTATTTGGAGTAGAACATGAAGACGCGTTTCATGAACATCCAGTAGGCTGGGTCTCTCAATCTAGTTTCCGGATGAGCCAATGCGGATGGATAGATCGTTCCTTGGAAGTGATGACTTTTGCCAAAGTACTTGCCGAATGTCTTGTAAACGTAGTACATGTAGTTGTAGTATTTATAGTTCAAGCTGTCTGGATTACCTTGGAGAGCGTTGCCCAAGTATTCAACACCGCCTGGATATGAGAAGTTGTAGTATGAACCGTTGCTCATCAAGAAGAGACCCGAATCGATGGCTTGGAGCAAACGTTGTTCGTAGGCATTGATAAAATCGACGGTGAAACGGTTGCCTTCTTGGTAAATAACATGACCATGTTCACGAGACAAGAATGGATAGCCATAGTACGAGCGAATGTTGGGGTAGTAGGCTGCGATTGGTGACCACCATGTGAATTCCTTGACTGGTCCCATATCGTATGACAAACGTTCCAAATAGTAACGGGCCAACAATTGTTGCTGGAAGAACAAGTAGTATTCACCACGACGATCCTTGTACAGATTGTATTCTTTGCCTCCCATCCAGTACGGGTAATCAATTTGGAAATAATAGTAGTATGCGTTCAAGCCAATATCTTCGGTGAAGTAGGAAATACGTTGGTCTGGATACGAGTATGTATCATGGCCGCTGTAGTTGGCTTGGATAACCAGGTTGTAGGTTCCATCGACTTTCTTGACTCCACGGAATCCTTGTTGTTTCATCATTTGAGCGCGTTGGAGGACATCAAAGCTGAAGAAGTAGTGTGGGAATATCTCATAGATGGCCGGAACTTGCAATCCGGCAAAGTCTTGACGGTGGATAATGGCAACGTGCAATGAGTAAACGAAGAGTCCTGGGTTTACATTGTATCGGGCCCAGAGTACAGTCTTGTAGAAGGTGTCCCAGTCTTGATACGAAGAAAAGAAAATATTTGGTTTATTAGCAAATGAGGAAGGAATTTTGGCTATGGCCAAATTGTTGAAACTCTTTCCTTTAAAGTCCCAATTCCAAGGAATCGATCGCATTCGGTGACGATTTGAATGGAGTCAACACATCAATCGTCTCCAAATTCAAATTGAAAAAAATCATTCGATTCGATTCAGAATCAAGAGCTCACGGAAAAGTGGAAACAAAATCAAATGAAAATATAAAAGTAATACCTTTAGCATAGTAGAACACATGGAACAGAGCGATGGCCTGACGACTATGTTTCTCGTTGTAAATTGAGAACAATTCGTTGTATGGAATCAATCCTTTCTTGTAGAAGTAGTAGAATTCCTTGACGGCATCCACATTATTGAAATGTTCGTAGTAGTGTTCAAAGTCGAATGATTGTACGATGTTCAAATATTCTGGTTTATAGATTGAGACTCCGGGTTGGTATGGGTGTTGCAATAATTCGTAGATAACTTTTTGCTTCTGAAGAATCTCCGCTGTGCCGGGTTTGAAGTCGGTTCGACCGCCGGTGAAGGCGTATGATCCCGCTAGGACGCTAACAAACAGAACACTTATGATTGTCTTCATGTTGTTGACTGACTTTCCATCTCAAATCCCCTCATATTTATACTCAAATCGACTGGCCAATATATCGCATCGTCACACTTTTTTTTCATCTTTCTTCTGTTTTTTTTGTGCACATGTTGTGATTCTTCAATCACTTAAATTATCACTCAAACTGAAGAAAATAAAAAATATTGTCCAATTTACATTATTGTTTATTATTTATGTTTTCGCATTTCGTTTCGAAGCGATGCGATTATTTACTTTGATTTTCTCCGTTGAGCAGAGAGTGTTGCTATGGCCGTTGCACATTCACCGCTTGATAAACGACCTGCTGGTTATTTATTTTCTCATTTATTTTCGTTGAGCATACAAACGGTGTTATCGTCTGCGACAAAACCGTACTGTGAATCTCTTCTATCGTTCTTCATATTTTGTTGTTGCTGATGTTGCTGTTGTTGTTGTTATCGTTGGTGGTGGTGGCGTGTTTGTCTCGTTTTTTGGGGTCTTGTTGTTCGCGCTATATTTACTTTCTTGTTCTTTTCGGCCGCTAATTTTATTTCGAATCGGATTGAATGCGTTGTTTAAAGTACATTTACCGCATGCACAACGCAATGGCATTTTCCATCGCAACAACAATTCGCTCTCGTAATTCTTGGTGCGCAGATAAAATGCTATAGTTTATATTTCATCATATAAATTATATCCGAATCGCAGTCAAAAATGAGCATATTTTGCATTGCCAAATGGTAGGGACTGTGTGCGTAAAGGATTGCCAAGCTGTGATTGTTTCTCTATTCTGTGTGTCTGTATGCGTGTTGTTTGTGTTGAGAGATGTTTTACTCGTGGCATATAAACTTCACATAACAATGTGCCCCGCACTCATACACGCGCGCACGCCCATCAATATCAACCATAATGGTATTTCGTTGGATTCCCCAACAATTCAGTGGTTGTAATTGCTCATCATAATTTATAAATGAGATGGAGAAATTTGCGACAATGTCCAACCATACATATTTTATTTCAATAATTTATAGCCAATGTCATTTTTCCGCTTCCACCACTCACTCTAAATACACTGTGTACGTTGAATATCGGTCTCGCTCGGCATTGAATTCAATTCCAAAGTTGGCGCAAAATCCCAAACCAACCGTTCGATAAAGACAAATCACAATTTTGACTAAATTACATTCAATGTTTCATGTACTTTAAATCTGTTTTATTCATCTCTCTCGCGCTGCTTTTGCAGCAGTTTATTATCGCTCTGTCAATTGCTGGCAAAATCCAGCATATCAACACCAAATTCATTTGTCATTTTTATCCACGCATATTTTCTGTTCAAATGTTTTCCTTCGGTATGAAATCTAAGTCACAGTAACATTTAAACAATTGCCGCAATTTTTGTTTCATAGTAGAGTAGATTAAAATTCGGCTGCATTTAACATTGATTCCAGCATAATGATGATGAAGCTGATTTTATTCAGTTTTTTTTATAACACGACACTAAATTTAGAGTGTTCTTAATAATAATATTGTTAAAGTACGCTTCTCGTACATGAAAAAAACATTTCGTCAGTCCGTCAATGGGGTACATTCTTTACTTTGCAACTCGAGAAGTTGGCACTGTTTCAAAAATGCTATAATTTACCATTTGATAGGCCGTAAATGAAAGTTCAACATGGAAACAAGCCGCATATACGGCAATGACACCAGGGATTTGAAGGCTCAATCAACCAATTACGAATCGATAATGCTGCACATTGATACGCGTTATATTTTACGAAAGAAAAAACTGCTCTCACCAGATCTATTTTTGTTTCGAGTACCAAGTATCAAATCGCAAGTGTATTTTTGTTTGGCAAAAAATATTGTTGTTTGGACAGGCAAATGTCAAATACCAAGCTTATCGTACGCGGATTTTGAATAACATGCAATGAGTTGAGATTATCGAATATTTTATACCTGAAACAATGTCATTCACAACAATTCATTGGATTGAAAACAATGACAAAAAAAAGTTAAATTGATTTGAATTGAATTCGAAAAATTCAAAAGAGAGAAAAAAAAGAATTTTTTGTTGTTGATGCCTTTGACCACATATTGTAGCATGTACACTTTGGTACCATTGGTTTGCCCTTCAATGATGATGATTAGTAACCATTGATTATATACTATATATACTATTTACTACATATATGTGAAAACATCACCTCATTTCATCGAGCTATGGTACGTGCCAATAAACGCTTTTTTTTAATTCTATTTTTTTTGGAAAATTTTGATAGCCGCAATATCAATAGCATATTCAAATCGTTTAACGATTGAACTCGCCATTTCTTTTTCCATTTTTTTTTCTATTCATCGTTTGTTTTCTAAACAACAAATTTATCAACACACTCTTCGAATGTACCACGATGCTCAAATTGCAGGCAATCATTTTGAAATTATTCCATGATTTATTTTGTTGGACTGATAAACATGGTGTGGCCAAAAAACTTTTTATTGCCGCTCTGCACAGCACATTATCGTCAAAGAACCGACAACAAATGAAAGCAAATAAATTGAGATTTGCGAACTCGAGTATTTGTGGATAATGCTAAAATATTGCTGTAATTCATTGCAATCGGATCGCAAGCGAAAGAAAAAAGAGGGGAAAAAATCAACATGATACGTGATAATTGTTTGAATATGATATGACTGTTTTTTTTTCTCTCGCTCTCCGCAAATAAAGTGCTCTATCCAATATTGTCACATTAAATAGGTTGGATCAAACAGTAAATCGTTGGAGACGAAAAGCCTTTCATGTGATTTGCTGGAGTATATACAATTTCGGGTGTTCATATCACAATGGAAAATCAATTGACCCTATCTTTAAATGAATCGATTAGGTTAAATGGCCCACATTTAGAGCCAACCGTTTCGCATTCAAAAGGATTTTACCATTATGGAGAGAGGGAGGAAAAAAAGAGTGAAATTTCAATTAACATAATTATTAATCGTAAGCTAAGTGAGGTGAACATTCTGGCCAGACACTCCATCAAGGGCAAATAACTCAAAAGTAATCCGCTATGAATAAAAAAAATCCGCTATGTATATTGATTGCAATGGAAAAACCAACAAAATTGGATCAGAAAAATTGCGACAAACCAAAATTGCATGACAAAATCAATTTAATTAAGTTGGAACCATTTTAAATTTTTATACTACAAATTGCGCTGTGGTTTGGTTTGAATTTAATATTCAACACACTATTGGTTGATGTGGATTTCGACACACAAAAAAGGGGTCCCATTTGCAATTGCATAAATGGAATGATTTCGCTTCGGAACATAATCCACAAAATAATGCTAATCCCAAAGCTGATGCTATTATGAGAAAAAAAAGCATCTCACTTTTTTGTTTGACATTCAGAAGTGATTTTTTGGTGACCTTGATAGGAATAGCAATTGAATGGCAAACATTAATCAGAGTTATAGCCAAATTCAATGCTCGCCCGGGTATCAATACCGTTTGACCAGACACACTGTCGATTTCTCTAGATTTGTTCTCTTTTTTCTCTCGCGTTCGAATTTCGTTTCGTTAATGCACGGCAAAATTAAAAGCGCATCGTTCAATTAGGAAAAGAACAGAATTATATTCATATATTCAATGCGAATGGGCAGCGAAAAAGAGAAGACGAAAAAAAACAAGTATGTGAGCAGATGTTTTCATTTAAAAATAGACCTTTTCATCTAGTCTTTTGAATGTGCCACCTCGATACACGAGCCGCTTTTTGTCGCAAGATTGATGACCTCTGAACTCAATCATTGGTGTCTATAGAGAGAGTTTATTTATAAGAAACGTCATTGGACCGTACGAGATACACATCACTTTGTCCGATTATCAAAACCCTAATCACCATCATTCGCAAAGAATAAAAAAAATATAGAAATGGACACAGAAGGTTTTTTTCTATTTGGATTCAATTAAAAACGTGAACAGAAAGATGGAAGAAAAATCAAAACACTGTGCAAGTCATCGAAAGCAAAAGATAATAAAACGATTAGTTTTTATGTGCTCCTTTAATATTGTTTTTTGGTTCAGCTGTTTCGAGAAACATTATGCCGGTCTCTGTCTTGATAACGCAAACCTTATTTTAAACATAAATATTCCGACCAGATTCATACTCTATGCATTGCTATAAAAGCATGCACTCTCACATCACGCTCGGCTCTTTTGCAAACGAAATTGAATTCGAAAGTAGAAAAGAAAAACCACTGAAATAAACTACAAAGGGTTCAGTTCAGTTCACATTTTGGACAGGAGAGCAAGAGCATGAAAATAAAATTGAATATTCTCTTTGCTGCATCAAATGAAATTTGGATTTTGCAAAAAAAAAAACGTAGAAATAAAAATTCGCATGTCAAACTCACCGTGTAGAAATATTTCGGAGATGATTATCCATATTGCAGCTACCAAATTAAACCAGTTGCAGAATCCTCGCTTTTTTCTCGTCATGCTTAAGCAGCTGTACACGGCTCTAATCTTTTGGCGAACTAATCTTTTGTTCGTTCAAATAAAAATAAAAACTAGACTCGCTAGTCAATGCGACGCGCGTTTCGTTTCGTTTTTTTTTCTTTCGTGTTTTTACTGGGTGCTTTGCGTTTTTTTCTTTCTTCACTCTCTCCTTTGCTTGCTTGCGGCAGCCAAATATTTTCGTATCAGTTTTTGTGTTGGTTTTTGAGCGTCTAGATTCTATTCAATTGAATTATATCGCTGTATATTTTTTTCGTTGGCTCGGCGTAGTTGTTGTTTTTCTTCTGCTCTTTGTGCCGTTTGTTTGATGCCGTTTTTTTTAATCGTACTGTTTTGTAGTCGCACTTCGTCTATGTGTCCTTTCACAGTTCGTTGGTATTAAAAAGTGTTCATTTGAAGGAGAAAAAACAGCTGAACTATATTAGCATCATCAGGTTTTCGCCCTATTCAAGATATTCACTGCAAAGAAACGACAGAAGATACATTAAAATGAAAATTGATTAGTAAATTATGCAAATGACTCATTTAAACGCAGTGATAGAAGGGTTTGAGATTCTAGTCGCTATGCGATTTTTTTCTCCTTCTTCTTTGAATTTATTTTTTCTTTCGTTCGTTCGTTCATTCGTTTATTTCCCTATTTCCGCTCTCCGCTTGGAATTATTTTGGAGTTGAATAGGAGAGAAAAAAGAAAACATTTAAAGTGCGTACAAAATGATGGTAATCAACAACTTAACTAAATATATCTAATGCTACTGGTAAACAAACGAAGGCAAAAAAAATCCGAATTCCAACGCAAGAAACGAGAACATCGAAGAAAGCCTAAGTCATTGGATGGCATTCGCTCACTCGCTCGGTCGGTTTGCTTGTTTGTTTGCTTTTTTCCAGTTCTACTTCTCGTTGCGAACATCTAAATCATTGTTGTTCGATAAGCCATTAAGATTTTCGATATTTATTGGAAAATTATGATAATGCGAATAAAAACGACGCGAACACATCTCTCTCATTCGAGAGACGGCAAGCATGCCAAGAAAAAGGAAACTCAATGCGAAAAATGCAAGCGCGCAAAATGATGGCAATGACGCCTTCGTCGGTGGCACGGAGGGTGTGAAAAGAGAAAAGTGGGTTGCAAGAAGAAAGAGAGAGCGAAAGAAATGATGAAAATCGATTTAATGGCAACATCATCACATTGAGGCTCACGATACAGATTAGCGCTTATTATTCAATACTTTTGTGCTGATGAGCTGTACAAATATGCACAAGATGATGGAATGATGGATCCAATCGATAGAAAATCGTTCGATTTTATGTGGAAGATGACACACATTTACGTCGATTGGCATACCGTGGATTTGTGAAAATTTTAAAATTAAAAATTACCACTGCCTTTCCTATTCACCATACGATCGCGTCGTGATCGTTTTGAATGATGTATATTTGTGTGATTGTGGTTGTTTTGTTGTGGTTCTCACACATTTCGTTCTTTTTTTTGAATATTGCAAATAGGAAAAAGAGGAAAAAGAGGAAAAAGAGGAAAAAGAAGAAGAAGAAAACGAAGAAAACGAACGTTTGAAACGTAGGTATTATCAACATTCATGGATGGCTATATCATTGAATATAAAAGAGCCGTTATTTTTAACATTCAATAAACGCGCAAATATTATGCTATTTATATACATGAGTGGATCGATGATATTCCCAAGCAACGGCAATTTGAATAACAACACGGCGGCGGCGGCAATGGCATGTGACAATTTCTCGAATGTTTGTGCCAACTGGAATATGTATAGTTTTTAATGAACGACGCTGGATTATGTGACACTTTTTAGAGCGTTTCGTTTCTTCCAGATCTTTTTTTCCCGCTTCTTCTTCTTACAGCCGATTTCAATCACTTTGCTATAGTCACTTTCCGTAAAATGCGCGATAATTTAGTCATTTTAGCCCCTCTTTGCTCGTTCACCAAGCAAAAATAAACGAGACACATTTTTATCTAGCGCATTTTTTTTTTCTCGGCGATTTGACAAAATAAAAAAGGCGGCCAATTGTTCATTGCCAGAGTAAAGCGAATGTGTGCGTACGTGCGTGGATATTATGTGTGGGTGTGTGTGAACGCGAATGAAAATTGAAGAAAAACAAATTAATTTATTTAAATTAAGTGTGTATTTCATTCGAATGCATTGCTATGCGACACGTTATGTTTTGTTTTTATTTGTGAGTTCACGTTATTGACGCAATAACGAGACGACTTTTGTCTTCGTTGGTTCGTTAACACGTAATGTATAAAAACGGGTACGCAATAGCAACAACGATGACGATGACAACGATGGAACAAAGAAGATCTTGAATTGTACATCATGTACAGTCTGTAGAGGACAATTTAATCGCCTTATGCTCAACGAGTGTGAGTGGATGACAACGAGAGACAAAAAGGGAGGAAGAGAGAGAGAGGGAGAGAGGGAGTTGGGGGAGCCGTTGAGACAAAAACAAAAGCTATGAAATTGAAAGAATCAGCGTAATATAGCGCAACATCTTGTTGAGAGCACAATCTTATGACGGCTTCTTTTCATTCAACATTCCAAAAACCCCATACATTTAAGTCAAAGACATTGTGAGCTTGAATTAAGCGCACAACGAGTGCGAACGAACGCAGAAAAGAAAGTAGAAAAAAAGCGAAGAACGATGCAAAATCCACAAGAAAAGGCGAAGACGACGACAAAGACGAAGCGAAGCCGAAAAAAAAACAAAACACTTCGTAAAATGGAAAAATATTAATGATCCACAAAATTTGGCTTTACACAAACGACTAATCTTAATCTCTTTCAGTGTTCATTAACGAAACCGCTTCTTGGATTTTATATTCTTTGACGTGCGGTATGCTCAAGACCTACTGTGTACAGCGCGAAAAAGAGACTCTCTCTCTCTCTCTCTCTCTCTCTCACTTTGCGCTGAGATATATCGGGCTGTAAGTACGTTGTGTCTCTCGTCTACACCGATACAATGTTTACCATAGCATCAGCTTTTCGTCCCCGTGTATTGGTGGGCGTTAAATATTTGCATTGTTTATGGCAACGATGCGATGAAGAAATGGAAATCGGCTAACCGAGAAAACTCAACAAACACTGTGCTAGAATATTGAAATAACTCGTCTCTTTCTTTCTTTCTTTCCCTTTCTATCCATATCTGTGCATGTGTCTTTCGACAATCAGATTGTATGGCCGGTATATTTGGAATGGGCATTTTTCCATTCTGCATAATCTATAGATCTATTCATTTGAATTAGCCATCTTTGCCATCACTCTCATTTAGTCTTAAATTGAAGTTAACTGTGGTGGCGCAGACCATTCACAACGACCAACAAGCACCTAAGTCTGAAAACAATGGAAATTGCAACCATAGCGAAAAATTGCGGAGAACCAAGGGGGAGACGAGTATACAACGAGAAAGGTGAAGAAGGAGAAGAATGAGAAGAATGAGAATAAGAAAAAAACAAAAAATTAGTCGACAAGCTTTGCGTAAAAGTAACAAATGTGCACCTACAATAAGAGAGTAGAGAGAGAGAGAGAGAGAGAGAGAGAGAGAGAGAGTGAGACATTGAGGTGTCGTGTTCTGACTATAATAATAGTCATAAAATTGATAATACGACGAAGTACAACAAAGATCGAAACGATGTCGGTTTTTTTCTCGGAGGGAAAACGAACGGAGAGCTAAGCGAAACACCGTGTTGCCCACAAACAATAAACCAACATCCAAAATAGCATCAATTCGGTGTATACTTTTGAATGGAAAACGCCGTTTCGAAGATATGCTTTTGAGTTTTTCGCCTGCTGTGCAATTTTTCGGTATTTACCAAGAGTTTAAGACCGGGCGATACGCACACGGTGACGTATCCAAACGACTTCACTCTCATCGGACGTATACTCAATTTGGAGTTTGTGGCCTCTCCTCTCTCCGTATTATGAATATTCAAATTGAACAAAAATATTTAATGATGGTTTTAGGTTTTAAAGTGAAAATAAATTAATCAAACAGCTTGCAAAACAAGCAGGCGTTCTCTTCTCTTCCCTTTTTTCCACTCTCGCTCTTGCTCTTGCTCTCTGCCAATGCCAATGGAATGTGTAGCAAAAAGCCGCAGTTACTTTGTTTTGAAAACGACCGGACTGAAATCGAATGCGAAAAAGATTAGTTTTGTTTTGGAAAATGTGGTTGAACCACAACATCAAATTGGTTGGCGAAGAGGAAAGAGAACGGTAGAAAGAGCGACAGAAGTGAGATGGAGACAGAGAAGGGTAGCAATGTTTGTTGGTCTACTCATGGTTTTTTTTCCCATCATTTGATTTGGTTCGGTTGGTCGACTTTGATGCCATTTCAAAATAAGTAAATGCACGTGCTTTCATTTTACCAAAAATGAAAATTAAACAGACTTTCCCCAGAGTTGATTAATATTGACAAAGGAACCGAACATGTCAATACCTATGGAAACCAAAAATGTCGGAATATTTTCAAACATCAAATGACTCTAGAAATGACTTGTGTCATAACAAGTGCTGCCTTGAAATTTTGCCAAAGAAACAATTTCCACGTCACTTTCAAATTGATATGCGTTTGTTGCTGCCGCTGTTGCTGTTGTTGTTGTTGAAAAGTAACAACAGGAGATGAATTTGGGAATTTGAACTCGTGCACACGAATACTGAGCACATATCCATGTCAATTTGAGTGAGTGTGTTGATGGCGTTAGCGGTGGCTGGAGGGAATGGAAGTCGTCGGTGGTTGCCGAAAGAACATCACGCACACATAGACTCTGAAATGACTGGCAACCGAGAATTTCAAAATACACTTCAATTTCAAGGGGGTTTTGTCTTATGAATTAGTTTGAACGCAAGTACATAAACGATGCGGTACCAATCTAAATGCTACTCTAAATGCCACACACTGAATGTATGCAAGATAAATGACAAATGTCTGCATTTAATATAAGTCAAACGCACAATCATTGGTTTTTTTGGGGGAGGACGATATGCAACGGAGAAGAAAGAGAGAGAGTGTGTGTGAGAGAGAAATGGGACCAGACACTTCTTTGTCGATGATGATTTTTAGTGTCTTTCACCAATTCACCGGGAAAATGGTCCCAAAAGCGACACAGAATTTCAACGATAATTATACAGCACACGGGTTTATACACGAAATCCAGCCATCTATGCATTAGCTATAGCTAGTCGACGAGTCGAACTAATGCCTATCGAATGTTTGACGTTGCTCCTGATTGGAAATTTATAGGGGCAATGCTGTAAATTCACATTTCGTTTCTCATGCCAATTGAATTTAATGCTTTGGTCTCAAACATTTGTTGGCAGCCGCGCGACTCACACACGTCCTATCGCCTGTTCGCCCGCGCTCTCACACACACATGTGCTGTATACACGAGCTGATACTGTTGTTTAGCCACACATAAATGCACATGCACA